GGGGATGGGGATGTGGCATCCACATGGGTCAGCGGGGATGGGGATGTGGCATCCATATGGGTCAGCGGGGATGGGGATGTGGCATCCATATGGGTCAGTGGGGATAGGGACAGGGACATGGCACCCACATGGGTTAGCAGCGATGGGGACGGACACATGGCATCCCATGGGTGAGTAAGGATGGGGACATGGCACCCATGTGGGTCAACATGGATGGGGACGGGGACATAGCACCCATATGGGTCAGTGGGGATGGGGACATGGCACCCATGTGGGTCAATGTGGATGGGGATGGGGACATGGCACCCATGTGGGTCAACATGGATGGGGATGGGGACATGGCACCCATATGGGTCAGTGGGGATGGGGACATGGCACCCATGTGGGTCAATGTGGATGGGGACAGGGACATGGCACCCCCATGGGTCAGTGGGGATGGGGACATGGCACCCATGTGGGTCAACATGGATGGGGATGGGGACATGGCACCCATATGGGTCAGTGGGGATGGGGACATGGCACCCATATGGGTCAGTAAGGATGGATATGGGGACATGGCACCCACATGGGCCAGCAGGGATGGGGGGATAGGGCACCCAGCCTTCCCAGGGACCCCAGGGACAGGGGAGGGGACACTGGCACCCAAGGGGACTGTGGGCCCACCAGGGGTGGGATGTCCCGGGGAAGGGGACCAGGCTGGCACTTGGGCTCGCTGGGGGGGCTCACTGGGGTGGCTCACTGGGGGTCCCACAGGACCTGTCTGCGCTGGCGTCGTGGGTCTCAAAATGCCCCGGTACTGCCTCTTCGGGGACACGGTGAACACAGCCTCGCGCATGGAGTCCAACGGGGAAGGTGAGGGGCTGGGCTGGGCACCCATGGGTGCTATGGGGCCTGGGGCCGGGCTGGGCACCCATGGGTGCTGATGGGGCCACCTCCCACCAGCCCTGAAGATCCACATCTCAGCGGTGACCAAGGCCGTGCTGGAGGAGTTTGGCTGCTTCGAGCTGGAGCTGCGGGGTGACGTGGAGATGAAGGTGATCCCCGGCACCCCCAACAGCCCCAGCCCCCCGCAATGGCTGCCCCAGTGGGGTCCCCCCTCCGCATCCTCATCCCACAGCCCTGCTGGAGCAATATGAGCACCCCCTGCACCCCAACCCTTGGGGCAATGGATACCCTCCTGCACCCCAAACCTTGGGGCAAGGGCCCCCCCCTGCACCCCAACCCTTGGGGCAATGGATACCCTCCTGCACCCCAAACCTTGGGGCAAGGGCCCCCCCCTGCACCCCAACCCTTGGGGCAATGGATACCCTCCTGCACCCCAAACCTTGGGGCAAGGGCCCCCCCCTGCACCCCAACCCTTGGGGCAATGGATACCCTCCTGCACCCCAAACCTTGGGGCAAGGGCCCCCCCCTGCACCCCAACCCTTGGGGCAATGGATACCCTCCTGCACCCCAAACCTTGGGGCAAGGGCCCCCCCCTGCACCCCAACCCTTGGGGCAATGGATACCCTCCTGCACCCCAAACCTTGGGGCAAGGGCCCCCCCCTGCACCCCAACCCTTGGGGCAATGGATACCCTCCTGCACCCCAAACCTTGGGGCAAGGGCCCCCCCCTGCACCCCAACCCTTGGGGCAATGGATACCCTCCTGCACCCCAAACCTTGGGGCAAGGGCCCCCCCCTGCACCCCAACCCTTGGGGCAATGGATACCTGCCTACACCCCAACCCTTGGGGCAAGGGGCCCCCCCTGCACCCCAACCCTTGGGGCAATGGATACCCCCCTGCACCCCAACCCTTGGGGCAAGGGGCCCCCCCTG